GACAAAACATACCAGGACAAAATATATCAGGACAAATGATATCATGGACAAATAATCTCAGACAAAATATCTCAGACAAAATATATCAGACAAAATATCTCAGACAAAATATCTCAAAGGGAAATTTTAATAGTATGTACGATGATTTTAGTTGATTTGAACTTTTTTTATTGACTGTTAATATCGGTTTGTTTACTTTTTTTACGCATAATAATTGTGAATAAAATGAATTTGTTAAACCTAGCAAACCATCTAAAGATTTATTAAACTTTGTCGTAGCATTTGATTCGGAAAAGTAAAAATTATAACAAACTTACTCCTTTAGCCTGAAAGTTATAATAAATGGTAATGTATAAAACAAATAAAGTAATGATTGTTATACAACATTAAGGTTCAAAACACGCGAAATATTTTTCAAAAATGTGAATGGGTCTTCAGGTTCGTAATACTATGTGATCATGTATTGGGTGGCCGGAAAGAACCGCAACGGAAAAAAGCGCAACGGAAAAAAGCGCAAAACAAAAAGCGCAACGGAAATAAGCGCACACGGAAAAAAGCGCAAAGAGAAAAAAGCGCACACGGAAGAAAGCGCAAAGAGAAAAAAGCGCAAAGAGAAAAAAGCGCAAAAAGAAAAAAGCGCACACAGAAAAAAGCGCAAACAGAAAAAAGCGCACACGGAAAAAAGCGCAAACGGAAAAAAGCGCACACGGAAAAAAGCGCAAAGAGAAAAAAGCGCAAACGGAAAAAAGCGCAAACAGAAAAAAGCGCACACAGAAAAAAGCGCAAACGGAAAAAAGCGTAAACGGAAAAAACGCAAACAGAAAAAAAGCGCAAACGGAAAAAAGCGCAAAGAGGAAAAAGCGCACACAGAAAAAAGCGCAAACAGAAAAAAGCGCAAACAGAAAAAAGCGCAAACAGAAAAAAGCGCACACAGAAAAAAGCGCAAACGGAAAAAAGCGCAAACAGAAAAATGCGCAACCAGAAAAAACAACGAAAAATTTGATCACGTGATTTACTACCATTTAAAGCGTACCACTACCATGTTCATTCCCCTCACCACGATACAGGCGATAATCGCTTTACACAATGCTTATTATTTTCTTGGTCAATAATTATTCAACTACTATTCTCGTATAAATAAACATAAAACTATCCTTGATATCGACATTACACGAAGTATCTCTCACATTCTCCCTAGTCCGAACTACCTAGCTTGCATACCATAACTACCCGTTCCTATGGCAAAACTTCACTCTCTTTCATCCGCGGTAGATGTGTGGGTGGGTAGTTAGGTAGGTGGTTGGGTGTTTGTGTAGATGATATAGATTATGCACATTTCCATTTTGCTAGTTTAGTAACAGTGTTACAAAACTCGAAATTTCAAACTGGTTTGGCGTAAGGTTAGTTCATTGATCCTGTTGAGCCCTACATTACATAGTTAATCAGTTTAACAATGTAGATGATATTGGAGGAGGTGTAAGTCAAAGCTTGATGTTATTATAAAACTTCATCTCTCTTTGTTTCTTTATAAAAAGGTTTTGGAAGGTTTTTTAAGGTTTTTTACTGAAAGGTTTACCGGACGAATGCAAAATGATATAAACAACCATAGCTCTTCTGTTATATAGGCTACATGCAGTGTTTCTTCCAGACTTTTTCTCCGGGGCTAAGGGGGGGGGGGGGTGAAGGGGATTTTCGGGGGGGGGGGGGGGGCGGACACTAGTAAAAGTGTATGTTTACATGTTTTCATTACCCTTCAAACAATAGTCTATTTTAGTTATATAGAGATTAAAGAATGTAAATATATAGTACACACAATTCTGTAGAATAGGAACGATTGGGAGGGAAGTGACATATAGCGCAAGAAATTTAGAGGTTAGGTAGGGTATAATAAATGGTGGGGTTAGGAAAGTTAGGGGGTCCAATCTATGTCTCCTTCGTACTTTCGTGGTGGTTTATTATCGAACCTGTCCTCACATCACAACAGGTGGGTGACGCTTACCGTGTAATGATAAAATAAATAGCATGTAATTGAGTTAGTTCGAAGTGAGTTTTCATACAAGCCCAACGCACTAATTAAGATTGTCGCAAAATGTAACATATATGTAACATATGTCAATGATGTCAATGAATTTTCATTAAAAAAAAAGTAAAGTTTACGAAACTAACGAACTTCGCCGATCCTTTTTCGGTGGGTAGGTGGGTAAGTGGGTAGGCGGGTAGGTGGGTAGGTGGGTAAGTGGGTAGGCGGGTAGGTGGGTAGGTGGGTAAGTGGGTAGGTGGGTAAGTGGGTAGGTGGGTAAGTGGGTAGGTGGGTAGGTAGGTAGGTAGGTGTGTAGGAGGGTAGGTGGGTAAGTGTGTAGGTGGGTAGGTAGGTAGGTAGTAGGTAGTAGGTAGGTAGGTAGGTAAGTGTGTCATGATGTGAAATAATATTAAATACATAATTGTTATTTTGGTGCGAATGAATGTTGTTGCGAGAGATATGAGAGATATGACGAATGCATGTTAGATGACGCGGATGAAAGAGAGTGAAGTTTTGCCATAGGAACGGGTAGTTATGGTATGCAAGCTAGGTAGTTCGGACTAGGGAGAATGTGAGAGATACTTCGTGTAATGTCGATATCAAGGATAGTTTTATGTTTATTTATACGAGAATAGTAGTTGAATAATTATTGACCAAGAAAATAATAGGCATTGTGTAAAGCGATGATCGCCTGTATCGTGGTGAGGGGAATGAACATGGTAGTGGTACGCTTTAAATGGTAGTAAATCACGTGATCAAACACGACACTCTCACAGCAGCCCTAACGTCATGTATAAATGTGTCATCTAGTCGATATAGGTATTTGTGCTAAATTTCTCTTTTGCAAATTTTTCCTTGTTTTTTCTGGTTGCGCATTTTTCTGTTTGCGCTTTTTTCCGTTTGCGCTTTTTCTGTGTGCGCTTTTTTTCTGTTTGCGCTTTTTTTCCGTTTGCTCTTTTTTCTGTTTGCGCTTTTTTCTGTGTGCGCTTTTTTCTGTTTGCGCTTTTTTCTGTGTGCGCTTTTTTCTGTTTGCGCTTTTTTCCGTTTGCGCTTTTTTCCGTTTGCGCTTTTTTCTGTGTGCGCTTTTTTCTGTTTGCGCTTTTTTCCGTTTGCGCTTTTTTCTGTTTGCGCTTTTTTCCGTTTGCGCTTTTTTCTGTTTGCGCTTTTTTCTGTGTGCGCTTTTTTCTTTTTGCGCTTTTTTCTCTTTGCGCTTTTTTCCGTTTGCGCTTTTTTCCGTGTGCGCTTTTTTCTCTTTGCGCTTTTTTCCGTGTGCGCTTTTTTCTCTTTGCGCTTTTTTCCGTGTGCGCTTTTTTCTATTTGCGCTTTTTTCTCTTTGCGCTTTTTTCTCTTTGCGCTTTTTTCCGTGTGCGCTTTTTTCTCTTTGCGCTTTTTTCCGTGTGCGCTTATTTCCGTTGCGCTTTTTGTTTTGCTCTTTTTTCCGTTGCGCTTTTTTCCGTTGCGCTTCTTTCTGGGAACCCATGTATTGTGTGAACTCTTGCTCGACATGTCCTAATTTCTCATTTCCAAATCTCTTTGCCTGCTTATGGCAAACATAAATTCGCCAGAAACTAATGCCCTAAAACCTTTCTGAAAGAGGACTAATACTGTTTTTTTATGCACACTGCGACAAACTTAGCTCCGCAATGACCGCTGTTTGTTTAAATAAGCTTTTTTCACCTGATCACTAAGGTGTGACCGACGCATAACAATTGACTGTTGATGCTTGTTGTATTGTCCACGGATGTTTTTCCCTTAAGGCATGTCTCTGCCATCAAAGCAGGCGGCCACCTTGATACAAAGGTGTGTCTTTATTGTTATTTCATCCTCTTTTATCTAGTTTCGTCCACCTGACCTGGTAGGATTGTCTCATGTTTGGCAAGCTCACCTACGTTGTCTATCGAAAAAAATCTTTAATCTTTGTATACAATTGTACACAATATATATATATATATATATATATATATATATATATATATATATATATATATATATATATATATATATATATATATATATATATATATATAAACAGTAGCCTTCTTTAATGAATTTTAAATATTTACTGAGTAATCTAATCTATTTCATTGTCATGTATAACCACCCTGAGGCAACAAACCAGTCAAATTTGGTTTAAACTAATTTCATGACTTAACTAATCGTGTTTTACAATTGTTTGGATTGCATGTTATATGTAGTGATAACTGTGAATAGAATTATATAATAAAAGCTAGCTGGTCAAAAGTATATAAACGCGTATGTATATTATTAATTTTATTTTTTTATTTTTATAGCTATAAAGTTTTTTAGTATGTCTTATTCAAATAAGAATTAAGAGAATGAATTGCTTTTAAATTTACATAGTACAAAACTATTTAAATGAGCTTTATTTGGAAGTAGCCCGAACGATTGCCTATCTTTCAAACTACAGCTCTTGTAGATTTTAAAATATTTTTCTACGCAATAGTGAGTGTTAGTTACTGTAGAACAATCACTGATATAGTATGCCTGTTTCTTTTTATAAAACCCCTATCAAGGTGCACAAAAAGCGTTATTTATGAAAAAAATAACTGTTTTTTAGTCAGAATTGGGCCCCTAAACGTCCTCCCCCCCCCCCCCACCCCCACCCCGCATTGCGGGGTCTGGTGGCATGGTAGTTCCGCCCCTGCTTATATGTCCCCAACATAAAGGTAGTCGGCTCTTGTCCACTAAGCGTCTCCAAGTCACACTTGTCATGGTCTGTCTTATTTTCCATTACAGCGTCAAACTCCGAGTCATTAATCTTATTTAATCTGGTTTCATTTTAATTATATGACCCCTTCTAGTATTTACTTCATCTATTTACTTCTGAGACTTCTTCATCTTCAATACCGATTGTAATGAATTTATTGAAATAAAAAAAACCTAAGTATAAGGATTATTTTTTTAATGTAATAACAAATAAAATAAATTCCATAATATTAAAAGTAATAGAAAGCTAATAAATTTATTGAATACAACACTTTAATGCACCCAGCGCTAATTTAACTTACTGAAATATTCCTGAACAGTAACAGTAACAGCAAACAGTACTTATTTAAAATATGCATAAAAATGTATTTTTAAATTACGAAACATAACAGTGCAACATTTTAAAATATTTTAAACAAATAGTCTAGCAAATATTTAAGAAAATAGTGTACATAATATTGTCCAAACTATTAGCACTGAATAATTTTTCTTTTCTACTTATAGGGAGCGTAATTTCATCTCAACAAACTTGACATATCTATCCCAATGAATACCCTTAATGGAAACGTCATTCCATACACCATTTAGATTTGTTTGGTAACAATTTCTATACCACCAGCCCCCCTTGTATAACTGGGCACAGTTCTCAGTATGGACGTCGTTATCGCTGTCTATCGTGGAGAACATCATCCCATTATGATAGCTTAAACTGTCTGCAAAGTTTCCCCAATATGATGAAAAGCTCATCCTGTACTTGGCCGCTTCGTTGTCAACTTTAAAATTGCTGTACTGTGCAAATTGTCTTGTATCTGTGATGATGAAATCAACCCTCAACTCAGTGTAGCCCTGAAACATGTGTAGATTGTAGTTAGATAAGCGTTCAGTTATAACGTCGCCAATCAAGGGAGAACATCAACCCAGTCTTCAATATCGCTTAAAACTTTTCTCATACCTTTATCCTCTCTACGGACATATTTTATTTGTTATTGCAATGCATAAAGTAAACAACAAGACGTAACACTTTAGTAATAAAAATCCTAGACTAACGTATGTCCCATTTGGAAGGCGTGATCAAATGGTACAGCAAACAGATTTTAACCGTAAAGTCTTGAGTTGTAATCTAAGTTTTTTTCACTACACCTTCCCTGAGTCCACCCAGCTCTGATGGATACATGATTTACGAAAGAGAAATCTAAGGCGTCTCAGAGCAAAGGGCTTAACACAATAACACTTGATATACTAAGGTCACTAAACCTGGTGAACTCTACTACGCTTGTTCACTGGAAGTCAGATTTGAAAGAGTATATTGCTTTATATCGCATATCTTAATAAGGTTTGTTGTAAGCTTACTAATATTATAATCGTAAATATTTTAATTTAATTTATTTATTTTGATAGTACTATTGAAGTGTTATAAATGTATAATTTGAAAACAAAATTGAATACAGGCATAAAGTCATAAAATGTTTAATCAGCCTTTGACTTGAATTAAGTACTATTCATATGAAACCTTCTTAAACCTTGAGATCCATTTGGCAGACGGATTATAGTTCATATGTTTTTGACATCGGCACATGAAGGGAAGGTGTGATCAGTACTTTGCCCAACTGCGTTTACTTTCCCTAACATGAGTTACGTACTAACAAGAGCTGGGTGGGCTAACGGACGGTCTACTTACTTGGTCCCAGATTCGAACTCATAACTTTTGAGTTAGTAGCATAGCGCTCAAACGCTTAAGCTGAGCCAACATTATTTCTCATTATAAATTTGAATTCAGAAAGAATGTGTGAGATATAGATTTTACTGATTATCGCAGTAAGCCAGGAGATCGGGTCATTCCCAAGCCAAAAATCTCCGGCCGTAAATCTAAATCCATTTTTTAATCGTCCCATTCTCTAGTGAAGGTTAGAAAATGTGCTTATCTGCAATAATATTGTACTACATTATAGAATATTGCTTGGATTTAAAATATTTAGCTCAGTTCATTCTCAGACATTTAGCATATTTCTACAAAATGTGATTAACTAAAAATCTTAATTTATTGATATAGTAATTAAGAAGGGGTTTTGTTGATATAAATAGAAAACTATAAGTGTTGTAAATATGATGTAAACATAAATAAAAGTAATACCGTGGTTTTTAACATTCTCATAACCACATCATTCAGTATGATATACAAATGCGAAAAACAATAACATTTTCATCCATTTTTAAGAATAAAAAAATATCAGGCATAAGCTAACATACTTTAGATTTTATTTCTATAAATTAAATTTTACAAAGCGAAATAGGAGATAAGTATAACTCACTATCGCAGTAAGCCAGGAGATCCAGTCATTCCCAAGCCAAAAATCCCCTGCCTCTGATCCAAACCCATGTTTGTAGTCGTCCCATCCTCTGGTAAAGTTTACATCGCCCACAACACGACGCTAAAATAGAATTTTAACAAAACAATGAAGTTATTTTAAACTTTTGCTTTTACAAACAACTAGAATTCGATTATTTCGTTACACATGTGGACAAATGGTCAAGTAGTGATTCTTGCTAATACTTTGAGCTTATTCTAGCTTCGTGTAAATACACGTAATTTGTTTTATTTAGTTCTATCACGTTTATGTTTATTTGTACAAACAAATAAATCAACAAAATTCTCGCTTCGTCTGTGAATAAATTTTTGTATTTGGTATAAATGGTATTTTAAAAATATACTTATATGCTTATTTTTTTGTATAATATAAGCACCTTCATTTTCTCAATAATACCTGTATTAAAATCCATCCGCCACCGCCCGTTTTCGTGTCACATAATGTTAACTTTGATTGGTTGAGCTGAACAGGCTGTATACTTGTTAAGTTGAAGTTATTTGTTCTTTTACACTAAAATAAGTAAAATATTACGGTTTATTCTTTACTAAAGTTTTACAAATATACCGACAACGTACATTACTTTTTGTAAATAAGACAAAACGACCAAGTTACCCACTACATTTTTTACTTATGTAGACTTCTATTTTAATTATGTGTTTTTCAATTCTTAAATAAAATAAACATTACCTCGCAATCTTAGTGTCACATTAAGTCAATTTTGATATGTTCAATTGCACAAGCTGACGCCTTGGCCATTGTAAATTGAAATTTTTTGTAGACCGAATTCAGATTGAATCAAAATAACATGTTCACATTGAGTGTTGGTTCACTTGAATTACGCCTACTTAACTTAATCCGTTTTACTCCTTGCTGAGCTTGGGACCTCAGCCATAACCTTCCATTTTCTAAAGGTCCCCGACTCATAATTTTTGCAACTTCTCACTCTAGACCTCTAGTGGTTTTTAGCTCTTCAAAAAGACTCCGAAAATGTTCATAGCAAGGCGTTAAGGACAGATTTATTTATCTCTGTCGATTTATATCGCAATTCTAGATTATGGTAATAAATTACTATACATAATATTGACAACAGATGTGATATAATTTTCATACATACCTGTTCTATTGTCCAGATACGATTTTCGTCACCTTTAGTATCATGTTTAATACTTAATGTGCTTTTTGTTGTATTTAGTTTACTAACAGTTTTGTTTAGTTGTCCTTCTAAATCACTAAATCGATCATTAATAAACTTCATTTGGTCTCTAAAATCATCTTGTGTTACATTGTTTATTTTTTCTTGGATGACGTCCAACCCAGTAGAAGATTCGATTTGCTTACGATGATCAACAATCTCTTTGTTGACAGGAAAGCGGATATTGTCATATATATGTTCGTCGCTACTTGAATGTGACATCTGTAATGACATTGACATGTCAGCTCCCTTAAGTTTATCTGGATCTTCAAAAGATTTCAGAAAAGCGGCCATAGTGTCCACCGTTTTAACATAGTTCACAGTTTTTGCTTTTAAACTCATCATTAAATATGATTTCCGCATGTTCTCTTTACATATTGGCGCAGTCTCTTCTTCTGCGAATCCTATCTCTCCTGTCTTATAAGTGAAGTATATTTCACATTTCAAAGTTGTATCATGGCAAGTGGAATCATTCGACAAAAACAACTGCAGTTCCCCGCCATGGTGGGATATATTCCCGTCCACAAAAACCCCAGGCACTTTGTAATCTCGAGCCTTTGAATCTGATCCTGAAACAGACGCCAACATTATCTTGTCCCCTGGTTCGTTGATCACATAGACTGACATGTTGACCAGAGCTGATATCTGAGTGTCTTCTCTTATGTTTTCTGTACACTGGAGTTGTGCACAAAACAATTCCCTGCCCTGGTAAAATAATTCTCTCTTCATGTCTGTTTTTATACCTACAAATTATAAAAAACAAAATATTAACTGTTTCTTTTAACGCGGATTAAGTTTCATGATTTAACTTTTTTAAATATAATTTATATTTTTTGTGATTAAGATCTTATTTTCGGAAAAAAAGTAAAATAAAGAGTGCTGCTTAAAAAAAAATTATATTTAATTTATTAAATAATACATATATTTAAACCGATTACTTAAATTGAATGTGATGTTTTATCGATTTCTAAAATATAGACGTATGATAGATTTCAATGAACACTTGACAGTTATATTAAACAAACTTATAAAGTATTAATTAATAAGAATTATCGAAAAATGTGTAAAATTAATTTTCATACAGTTTACCTACCATAGCTCACAAAGAAATGTATGATCAACAGTGTGTACAACACTGTTGAAGACATTTTCATGTAGACTTAGAAAATCTTCGGTGTCCAACATTGTCAACCGCTGTCTACTTTCTATATTATATACTAAATATCTAAAGTGGTCACGTGGCTAAAATATGACCTCCAGATTGGACAATTTTAAGACAGGTTAAATAGGTTATGAGTATTATACAACAATGTACTAAAAATAAACTTGTTGTTTTGCAACAGTGGTACGTGTAATGTTTCAGAAGAGCTTGTAAGTGTCAACTTGTTTAGACCATCCCCGACAAGTTGAGTAAGTGTTTGTACACTGATATTTTGTGTCACAGAGCTGTTCATACAAGAAGCTGACTGTTAAGTGTTCAAGATGTAGCACACAATTGTCGAGTGGAAACATTTACAGTGAAAGGATGCAGCTGGCGACATCTGAAGTGACTTGAATGTAATAGTACTTGCTTTGTACAGAGAACAGACTGGTACGCGAAAGGAGATGGTATATTTTTAAAAATCTTGTGATGTACTAAATATTACAATTGCTCTTAACAATAACATCGCTGCTATTTAAAGCAATTTTTTTTCTCACTTTAGACTACTTAAAATGTGTTGTTTTTCTTGTGTTACTGTAACTACCATATTTTTCTTCACCAAACAGACCTAACAGATACTTTAGAGTAGGTTTTGTTAAACAAATAAATGAAGTCAATTTTAAATTACTCTTTATTAAAAAAATACCGATATCTGCCCCGCTATTGTACATTCTAGTGTCTTCATAAAAATAAATATGCAATTTTTATTCCTTTTTTAATTTAACATTTTTTTCTATTTTAATATTATTAAGTAAATAATTAGTATAGGCCTACGTGTCTATATATAAGCCCACGTTTATTCATTTACATTTAGAATATTATTTCAAAATATTAGTCAATCAAGCCTACAATGTTTATTATTTAAACTAAATATGTGATAGTAATGTATCTATATGACGGGAAAAGATACAATTGTTAACACAAAATCTAAAGCTGCCTAGATCCGATTTACATTAATAAGGTTTTACTAATAAATATATGTAGTCATAGAACAATAATTGCAGATAAGCACATTCTCATTATACCTTCAGTTAATTATACTTCTTCCTTTCTTTGTTCTTCATTGTAACGTTAGGAAATATTTCCTCTAAGACAAAACTTAAGTAATTGTCAATGAAAGTGTCTCAATTGTTTTACACCATGTGGGTTTTTGTCTTCAATTCCAGCCTGTTTTTTTCTGGATTTGCTTGCATAGCGTTTGTCCAACGAGAAAAAACTACAATCCAGTTGTTTGATTTTGTACTTATCTCCGCTAGATGGGTTGCTGTCCTCACGTATCAAGATCATCTGCAGATGTCGAACTCAGGACATTTAGTTCAATAACAAGAGCCATACCACGCAAATATCCGTTAATCGTACTGCGTTACGGATGCGTGAACAGTATTATCTCTGTCATTTAATTAACATCTTGCAGAAATCACAATGTACTTTTCAGAATACGGTTGAAATGTATTTTCGATAATTTTAAAACATATTTGTTGAACTATCATAACAATTAAAAACAACAATATTACGATTGCTAGTGTAATACTTTTTATTTATCATTATATATTGTTGAGTTAAATAAAATACAAACAATACAAAATCAATAAATTACTACAACAATACGACTTAATCAAAGGTGACGGGCTGTGTCCAATAGGCCCTGGAAATTTAAGAAAGGGTCCAAAGGCCCGGCTTGAAAATTTTTTATTGTGCATTTTTTTCCCAACCAATCAATAATCTATAAACGCCTTGGTATGAAGTAATGGTTAAATTTTAAAATACCAACAATTTAAAAAATAATCAAAATTCTTATAGGACTATTACAACACACTTCACGAGATCCCATATAGATTTCTTGGAGGTCACAGGGATTTTTCCCAGTAGACTGGAGGGCCAGTCATGTGGACTAAATAGACTCTATATTTTAATTAATATGGAATATTATGGACAAATATTAATTTCGTCATTATTAGAAAAAAAGGCGGTTCAAAAAACGTCACTCTCTAGACTATTTTAAAAAGGTCCGATTTAAACTTGTCTGATGAACCGGATCGACTATATACTTGATTTATAGCTTGATAACACTGTTAGAAAACAGCCTCAATAGCATTTATTTAATACAAATATTTTTAATATTACGAATAAGAAGTTGAGAATAATAACAGTAAAACACAGTGTATATTAAAGCGATGTGACCAAAATATAATTGATAAATCATGATTTACATCATATTTAAACAATGTCTAAAGTTATAGTAATTTTTACTATTCTTGAGAATCATTGACAGAAAAATATCTTTCTGTAGGTTTTTGCAAATTTCGGACTCAATCTGACATAAATGATAAAATTAACTGAGGCGTTGAGTCCATAAATTAAATTTACAAAAGTTTCTATAATTCTTAGGGCGTCATAGGTAAAGAGCCGACCATAACCAGCTTCAAGGGTGAAGGCGTATGCATTCGTGGGAATCAACACTAGACAAATTGCAGATAAACAAATTGTCAGTGAGATTTTAGCTGTTCGAACATCCTTAGTTCGCTTGGAGTGTGACTCAAATTTTGACATTCTCTTCATATTGCTGCTTGACGCTTTAAGTTTTATAATGATAGAAAACGTACATATCATTATTATCGCTGTTGGAAACAAAATGACCAATATTCCGAGCCCAGTGTTGTATAATGTAAACAAGTCATAATTGTAACCTATAAATACACCGTAGTCAAGAACCGGAATTGTACTATTGATTTTATCGTAGAATATCCAAATAACAGTATAAAAAAAATGCCCGAGGAATTTAAAATCCTGCTGAAATTATATAAAAACTAACCACAATACACTTGATTCTAAATGTTGTAAGTAGTTTAGATGCAGCGAAAGGAAACACCACAGCTATCATTCTCTCCACGGCAATGACTGTAGCCATCTGTACGCTGGTGCATATGGCATACTGGTTCCATCCTAGAACATAGGCGGTGAAATGCGAGAAGATGTAGTAAAACACGGCGTCGTCAATCAAGCGAGCCAAGTTCTCCAGTGGAAAATGTAGCTGTGTAAGGGAGAAGAACAGATCCGACACAGCCAAAGCGGTTAAAATAATAGTGGTTGTTTCCCTTAGTCCATTGTAAACAAGGATTAAAATAGTGAGGCTGTTCCCCACAATTCCAGTGAAACATAAAGCTGGAAGAATGATGCCGCTGAATATAAGATTGATATAAAACAAGTCTGTTTTAGAAATATCAAACATTGCGTCTGCTACAATACTATTGTTTTTGTATTCCATCTCTTGTTTATCTCTTGCTATGTAAATTAGATTAACTATTCAAGTAATTAGACGTGAAAACAAAAAATACATACATCTTCGTGATTGTTACACAATGCCACAAGACAATTATTTTTAAAGAAAAAATTACTCGATACTCGACAAACACACACTAAAGAATTTTACTATGAATAATATATCAAGCTTGTTACTATTGCTCTTATTTCTTTTTTAAATTTAAGAGTTTATAGTGAACCTATTCATGTTTACTGCTTGTAACTTGTCTGAATATATTACCTAAAGAGCGTAACGTTAAAAGATTATATTCCAAATAAATCTTCAGTTTAGAAAATTAAAAAGGAAGCAAACATCGATACATCGATACATCGATCCCGTAAACAGGGTTATAATCTTCTTGTCTACTAATTTAAATCTTAGAAATAATAAGATAGCTGTAAACGATTGTGTGTAATGGTTGCAAACGTAAAATTAAAAGGTGTGTAGCATAACAATTATGTTTCTTAGATGTATAACAACGTCTCTTTTTATTTAACATAAATAATTGTTTGTTATCTATTTTGTATGGTTGCTATATTGACTATGTAAGATTAGTCTTCTATCTTCGTCGGTTTTAATAATTTTATGTTATTATATGCATTATCATATATTTATATGACGTCGAACAAAATAGATATGATTATAAACTCAAAAAAAAAATGTGTATAATTTACATTGTCAATAAAAAGATCCTAAATAATATATTACTATTACACAATACTGTTATGATATTTAAAAAAAAATATAGAGCAACTTAACGATGATTAATTTTCTTAATTGATGTGCTACAGCCACTCTCGATGTGCTTTTGGGTGGGACGGCGAAGAATTCGAAATATCTCGCGCGGATAATTTTGCGGAAATGTGTTTTATACTAAATGTTACGGCTGATATAATATATATATATATATATATATATATATATATATATATATATATATATATATATATATATATATATATATATATATATAACTCAATGTTTTTTTATGAAACACAGTGTAATAAATAACTTGATGTTTTGTCAAAAAAGTCACATTTCCAAATAAATTCAATTCAAAAAGAGAAGTTTGTTCCTTGAGTGTTTGTACACTGATATTTTGTGTCACAGAGCTGTTCATACAAGAAGCTGACCCATAAAACTCCTAGCGCAGTTACGACTGCTGTCTGCATCTTTATCGTTGTCTGTTGTGGAGAACTTCATACTATTGTGGGACTTAGTTGGTCTTTTGTGTTATCATAAAGGTTTTACATTTTTTGTGACGTTTTGCTTACCAAACGCTCTTTAGAAGATTTTTATAAACACAAGGCAGATTTTCTTTTAAAGGTATCATCATTTTCCATATTTCGCGGAGCTGTTCGACTGGCAATCGAAGTTTTATTATTATATTTACATATAACTTTATTTGCACGATTAGATAATACTATTGTTGTTTGGGTTATTTTTCGTTGTTAATCCAGTTGACTCAATAAATTTTGTACTGTCTGTAAATTGTAAAAATGTAGATTTATATTTCTGTTGCTAAACATTTTACATTTACTGTAGATATGTTTAATAAGTTGAGCAATTTCCACTTGTGTTTATTTTAACTTTCTATCTGACGTACTCAAATTTTAAAAAAATATTAATATATATGTTTGTTATAAGCAAATAATTATTACCTTTCATTTGATTTTTGTCAAATAAAGTACATTTTTCAGTGAAATTAACAATTTACCTTATATATACCTTTTTTCAAATTAAATCACACGCCACAAAAATACCAAACACATAAGCTTCTCAATGTATTTTTAATACTTTATTTATAATAAAAGGTTTACATAAATAAGAAAAAGATATATATCATTTTAAAGCTACTAAGAACTATTAAATGTAGCCTATAGATCAATAATTTTAAATAATAAAGTAAAAATGTGATAAAAATGTCAAGAAAGCATACTTCGCATGCTTTTTAACGTTTTTTGTGTGTCTAAGCTAAAATCAACCGTTATACTTATACACGTAAAATAAACGATCAATAGTTAAAATGTTGAATTGTCTACATGCAAAGTGAATAAAATGTCATATTAATTTTTTTACAGACAAATCACTTTAATCCTTTTGTACTTTAACAAAATCCCACGAGTCATACCTATTTCGAATGCAGTATTATAGCAGGAATTTCTGAAGCTATTGTTGAGAATCTATTTATTTTTCTCTAAATTATTCTTGATATTAAAATGTGCGTAGTTTCATTTCAACTGATTTGACATAGCCGCCCCAAAACATCCCTGTATTGTCATTTATATTCCAAACTCCGTTAAGATTTGTTTGATAACAGTTGGTATACCACCATCCACCCATGAAACTCTGAGCGCAGTTACGACCGTCGGCATCGTTATCGTTGTCTGTTGTGGAGAACTTCATATTTTTGTGGGGACTTAGTTGGTCTTTTGTGTTACCTTCATATTTCAAAAACGTCATAAAATACTTTGAGGATTCGTCGTCAACTTTGAAATTGTTGTACACTGCATAATAATTTGTACTTTCAATAGTCAGATCAATTCTTAAGTCAGTGTAACCCTGAAACATATGTATGGAAATTGTAGTTATATGTCAGTTTGTTTTAAAGGTTTAACTATGTTTAGTTGTTTGGACCAAATACAAAATTGCATGTTTATCTATACTTAAAACTAATATATAGTGTATGTCTCACCATCATACTCTACGTATTATAAAACAATTATACACAATGTATAACAGGTGTTAAGTGCACTAAAATAATTTAAAGTATACATAAATCATATCAATAATATATTCTAGTAAAAAAAAATTACAAATTCATCACTTAAGTAATCTTTTCAAAACAAATTTACGAACAACGTTAGATTTACTATTATATCTAAACATAATTCTTTGTTTGTTTCTCATTTTTAGCGCATTTGTAATTTTAATAATAGATTTTTGTATTATTATATGCTAGTGTGCATTGGTCATAATCACGACCTGACAATCTTTAAAATTCCGAAATTTTAAAGCTACTGTCAACTTTATAAAAACCAAAGGAAAAAGACAGATGAAACTCTATAATCTTGAGACACACTAATATAAAATAAATATTACTAGATTAAAAATATAATATTGCGTTGTCATTGAAAATAAATTGATTTAGAAAGATAAACAAAACAAAACCAACACAGCCTTACACCGACTTAGTAAAAATCCGGTGTGTGTGTGATGTAAATAAAAAGCTTGTAAAATTACAAACTATATTACTTTAACAATTTTACTAGTATTAACGTAAAGGGAATTAACTCACCACATGTGTAAGCCAGGAAATCCAGTCATTTCCAAGCCAAAAATCTCCTGCCGTTGATCCAAACCCATGTTTGTAGTCGTCCCATCCTCTGGTGAAGTTTACATCGCCCATAACACGACGCTTAAAATAATTTAAAACAAAATGTTTTTAAAAACAAATGTTTACAAAAAATAAATAAAACAAGAGTGATTTCCTCTAAACATTTTCAAATATTTTTATGACACTACGCGGGATAGTCACTCGGGTAATAGAGAATAGTTTTAATCCATTATTATTATTTACTTAACCTTTTTGAAATAGAATAGAATCTCATAGAAAAAAATAATAGCGCACCAAGTGAACGCCAAAACAATCTGGTCATAATAGTGCGGAATATTATTAGTACTTTATAAATTCATATGCGTTTTTTGAGAAATCGGAAATGGCGTAAATTACTACTTCCGGTTAATAGGTAATTACTCAAAATTTGTCAGAAGGCAGAGAATTAGATATTTTACTTACATGTGCAATTTCAGTTATCTATCTGAAAAAAGTACTCAAATTATAGGTTTAAAAAAAATTGAAAGTAGAAAGGTTTTACTTCCGTTTATCGGAAATCGTTGAAAAGTTATACAGATCTACAAATTTGATCCAATACTTATATATGAAATTTCATCAACCTAGCTTTAACGGTACTAAAGTTATCGTGTTTACAGATACACACACACAAAACACACACATACATACTCACAAACACAGACATACAGAAAAGATTGCAACAATATGTTTTCCGACTCAGGGAGGTGTAAAACGTCGAGATTTGCAAAAATCAAGATTTTTTTTTGCACGATTACAATACTTTCTCTATACTTCGTGTACGAGAAAGTAAAAATGGAATTCGATTATTCGTAATACATGTCGCAAAATGGTCAAGTAGTGATTCTTGTGAATACTTTAACTGCATTTTAGCTTCGTGTTATTTCACCTTTACGCCTGTAAATAATCTTTTTATTTGGTAAAAGTGGATGACATATTATTCGTTTCTAAAAAAATTAAAAATATTATGATAATTTTTTTGCATTATGTTAAATATCTACATTTTCAAAGTAATACCTGTAAGTAATATTAAAATCCAGCCGCCGCCGTCCGTTTTCGTGTCACATAATGTTAACTTTGATTGGTTGAGCTGAACAAGCTGTCTACTTGTTAAGTTGAAGTTACGTGTTCTTTTACACTACAATTAGAGGAATAGTACAGGTTATTTAACTAAAGTATAATAAACATATCTACAACAGTGCACTATTCTTTCATTTTTATTTGTAAGACAAAACCACCCAGACAACGATTACAGTTTGTAGACTTCAATTTGAATGGCTGGATACTTAGGCACTAAAAAAACGTGTCAAGTATAAAACAGTAATTGGCCGTCATATTAGTGTAATGGAAAAAAGACTGCAATCAAAAACATTAAACAGATGTATATAAGATATGCTATGTAATTATTCTACTATTGTATTCTAATTATCTAGAATAATATGGAGTGTAATATTCATTCAATAATTCATACACATAATATATGTTAACTAGCAATCGAGAGAAAACTTTAAATTGACATAATAAAAACGAAAACACTTACACAGAAGTAGTCTATTATATTGTTTTAAATTTTAAAAAAACTATATATTTTATATTCGACATTAATCAATCAAAGCTTATGAACAAATAATACCATTTTCTTTGTCCAGATTAGCGAATTGGTGTTTTGTTCCTTTTCCGTATTTTCTTCATTCATGTTTAAACGTTTATCTTTTAAATGATTGAACCTCTCATTTACAAACTGTAACTGTGCTGTCAGGTTATTTATTCTTGTTTCAAAACTCTGTAGACTATTAGAAGATTCTATTTGTTTATGAGTGTCAGTAAAGTTTTTTCTTGGAAAACCGTTGTCATCGCTACTTGAATGTGACATCTGTAATGACATTGACATGTCAGCTCCCTTAAGTTTACTTGGATCTTCAAACGTTTTTAGGAAATCGGCCATAGTGTCCACAGTTTTAACATAGTTCACAGTTTTAGCTTTTAAATTCAGCATCAAATCTGATTTTCGCATGTTCTCTTTTCGTAACGAAGCCGTCTGTTCTTCTGCGAACCTAATCTCTCCTGTCTTATACGTGAAGTATATTTCACATGTCAGTATCTTTTCATAGCAAGCGGAATCATTGGACAAAAACAACTGCAGCTCTCCGCCATGGTGGGATATATTCCCGTTCACAAAAACCCCTGGCACTTTGTAATCTCGAGCCTTTGAATCTGATCCTGAAACAGACGCCAACATTAGCTTGTCCCCTGGTTCGTTGATCACATAGACTGACATGTTGACCAGAGCTGATATCTGAGTGTCTTCTCTTATGTTTTCTGTACACTGGAGTTGTGCACAAAACAGTTCCCTGCCCTGGTAAAATAATTCTCTCTTCATGTCGACGTTTAGGCCTATAATTTTATAAATGCATGAAAACATTAGTAGGCTACACAAATATTAGCGAGTGTATATTAAAAGAGCTAAACTTTAAAAATATGATTTTAAAAAATTAAAGATTAAATGTGATCTGGTTTTTGAAACGGAAAATATAAATAATAAAATGAAAAAGTAAACACATCTTTTAAAAACTTTTTCTGCACTTAATGTGACATGTTTCAATAAATCAAAATAGAGTCGTATGATGTAGATTCTTTGATATGTATTTCTTTTTTCAATTTTAACAAATATGTTCCAAATTAAATACACATGATATTTGATGTAGATTTTTAACCACTTATTGAGAAATTGTATTTCAAACGGAAAATTTGAATGGTAAAGAAATATCTTAACTGTAACCATATTTTTCTAAAATTTCGTTAAGTTAATTGTAAATTTGTATTAATGAATAAAATACTGACATTTTTATAGCAACTTCCATGTGAATATCAGTGTGAACTAACAGGTATACCCGAAAGTTAAATGAAATAATTTCAGAAAATATTTCTTACCATAGATCACAACTAAATGTATGGCTAACACGAAGAACACTTTCGTGGCAGACATTGTCAATTAAAATTTGTAAAACGTTTCGTTGGTTAGGTTTTTATCCTTATATACCATTTTTACACAAGTGGATAATTTGGTAAAAGTTGACCTACACTTTTGACATCTTAAAACTGCTTAAAACAAAATCTAAATCTTATACAAAATGCGCTTGGTAAAATAAACACTTTGTTTTTTGCAATAGTTGTACTGGTACGTGAAACGTTAGTTAAGAGCTTGTGTCAACTTGTCGAGACATCGCCCGACAAGTTGAACAAGTGTTTGTACACTGATATTTTGTGGCACAGAGCTGTTCATACAAGAAGCTGACTGTTAAGTTTTTCAAGATGTAGCATACAATTGTCGAGTGGAAACATTTACAGTGAAAGGATGCAGCTGGCTACATCTGAAGTGACTTTAGTGCTTTAAAAAATAGTTTATAAACAAGAAGTAATTAGTTATGTTTTGTTGAGTATTTTATCTAAGTTAAATGTACATAAAATATTAAATAAACTACTTAATACACGTAAAAGGATTATTGTTTATAGATTTTATTTGACTAATATTTTATTGTAACAGTTTCGAATGATTGCAACACTTTTGGATGATTGCAAAGTAAATAAAATAATTTTTTTAAAGTGGCTTTCCAACCAAGTCATTGCTGACCTTTCCAATTGACTTGATTACATTTGAGTTTTACATCTACTTTAAACAATCTTACCACTATTTCTTGTGAATAATTATACACATTATAAAAAATGCTGTTGTCTAGGCAACATTTGTGTCATTCTAACTCCAATCCGTCTTGCAATTTCCCGATTGTATCTTTCACTGTTAAACCTTTTCATTCCTTGATGTTGCCTTTTTTGTTGTCTTAATTTGCCCTAAATTGGAAGGATGCACACTTTTATATTTTTTTAAAAATTATGTTTGCATTTTTTCCAGAGCCTACCACCTACGATAATTCAAGATGAGATTTGCATGTTCACAAGAAAAATAAATTATTTGTCTACTTATCAGATTCAGCAACACATGTATACCATCTCTCACAAGGGCAATTCAATCAATTTTAATCAAATTCTAAACAAACAACTCAACAGGCTTAATATTATTCGGCAGAAGCATTACAATCTTGTTTTAATTCAATGGACATAAAAAAATCAAAAGATTATTTATATGATATATTGCTTCTCCAGCAGGTACATACGCTGGTAATTGTAAATTACATAAGGTGGTCTAGATATAGATAATGTAATAACCTTTTCAGGCTTGCTTTTTTTCTTTGCTGCAATAGATTGATGTAAAATGTGATTTTGTTTGAGAAATTACATTCAGATTTTTATTAGCGTTTTAGCATCATTCAGAATTATTTTTTTCGTTTATTTATATTTAATTTTAACTGTAAATTAGGCTTTATATTTATTGTGGCCACAGAAAAATCTGTGCCAAAAACCATAATTTCTCCCAAATATGCATATTTATATTTAGTTATAGATTATTTCAGTTTGCTTTTTAAAATGTTATCTAGCCAGTTATATAGACATCTTTAATCTCACATACAAGGTATACATCACAAACTGGTAAAGTTATTTTACATTCGTAAATAAGATATGACCGATTGAAAAAAGTATGTTCATAGTCACCGATGCTTTGGGCATTGTGGCGGAAAATTGCGCTAGTATTAACATTGTTGAATTTAACACGATTAATTTAGGCCTAATTAGCAAACATACACCATACAACATAGTCCACTTTGATACAATTTATCTTCAAAACATATTATTTGAAAATATTAAACTTTGCTATTTATTTGTGATTTTAAAGAAACAATCTTAAGAGTATAATATGTGAAAATTATTAACTGTATCAGTTATTTTAGCAACAAAAAGATTTTGTATAAGGCATGCATATTATTATATAAAGCAAAATATATCTCTTCCTAATCGTGTCGATTTAAAAAAAAAAAAAATAGGTATATTGCGTGTTTTATATGAACATTCTTTTTTTTAGAATAAGAACAATGAGATTGCATTAAAGGCTAATAGCTCTAACACCTTTTATAAAATAATGCTTTGTTTGTGTTATAAGTCGATATGACTTATAACTTTCAGAAAATAATGTATAGCAGTCAGAAAACACAAAATAATACCTAACCTGAAGTAGTAAAAAACATTAATATACTAATTCAAGTTTAACGAAAATAATCTAGAGAAACATATATTTCATTTTATTATTTCCATTAATTGTTTTTCTGAAATAGTTATTTTCTTACTTGTATTGCACATTTTCATAAATCAACGATTACACATCATAAATTATCTCAATAATAAAACTTGGCACAAAGTGAATACTAAATTGTGCTTTACAATTTTATCTAAAAGTTCTTTTTACGCAGTTATTCTGTGGATCTATTAGCAATAATATTAGTAAAAAAATTCATAAAAAACGTTTTAATAACAAGCTTTTATGTAATGATGCACTAAAAAGTAGAAAATAAATTATAGACTACTATTTAAATAACTATAAAGAAAAGCGTGGGTCACTTTAGTATCTATTGGATACCTTTACTAATGTTAAGGAAGACACCCACGCTTTTCTTTATAGTTATTTAAATAGTAGTCTATAATTTATTTTCTACTTTTTAGTGCATCATTACATAAAAGCTTGTTATTAAAACGTTTTTTATGAATTTTTTTTTCAGTACTTTGTTTTATTTACAATAGAGTTACATGACTAAAAACCATTGCGCGCCTACTGAACATCACGTTCAGTAGGCGCGCAATGGTTTTTGAACGCAGCCATTGAAGCTATTGAAGGTGATGACGCGTGTGGTGTGGTTGGCTAGACATGCCTACTAATTCGGTCCAAATTTTAATTAATTCGTAAAAAAAAATTAATTAGGCATCCAATTAAGTCAAATTTAGTTTCAGATTGCATTGTCTTCATGTCTTGACCCACGTGCCAACTGTGAATCGTATCGGTCAAGTAGAACTGTCCGAATTTTCACTCCTGCGTTTCCGTCTAGACAGACTGACGAGGAAGTGAGTTAAATAAAAGCTTGTAAAAATTAAATGAGTAAACAAATACTGTTCGTAAATTACTACGTAAAAACTTAAAACTAAATTATACGTTTGTAGCTATCAGCACCAGTACTACACAGAAGCTTCATAATAGCTTTAACACTAGGATTATATTATTTACCTATACGTAACTTATTTACATTTCTGAAATATTGTGTTAAGCAGATATAACCACAAATGTCCACTTTGTCGACAAAAATCCAGTTTAATCATCATTCCACTTTTAAGTTTCTAGCTTTTAAGATGACCTGGCAACCTGATTGATCACGTGAAAACCTGCCGCCATCTTTAAACACACGAATTCATGCGTATAAGAAACGTTACAGAAATTTGATAAGGTTAGCAAAAACGTAATTAATATAAAAATCCTCTGTTTGTTTTATTAATCTGTGAGCCAGGTCCCGCAAATCGAAATGTATGTAGAGTTACGTTTTTTGTACGTTTAAGAAACATTTCCAAACCGTCTAACCACTTTTACTTTTATGTTCATATTGTATACGTTATACAAGAAACTGTGTTGTAGATAATGGGATATAAAGGATGATGTAACCCACACTTGTAGACTATCAAAAAGACAGATCTCTTAATAAGTGACGCCTGTTTGAGAAATTGTCCTCGTGTCACTCCAACATGCTGACAATTTTAAAAATTTTCAATTTTAAAACCACAAATTTAGCTTCTTCGAATCATTATAGAATATATATATATATATATATATATATATATATATATATATATATATATATATATATATATATATATATATATATATATGTATATATATGTGTGTGTTTGTGTGTGTGTGTGTAATTTGTTTGTGTTTGCGCGAATCATTTAAAGCCCCGCTTCACCAGTATTCCAAAATTATGCATCGGCATCTAAATATAAAGTAGGCTACTAAATTTTGAAGTACTGTATTTTTTATTTATTTATGTAGTCTATATGGATAATAGTCCTACAATGGTAAAAAAAAGTTACCTGAACTACAAAAACAAAGTGCAACCAGGTTCACAAACACATAAGAGTAGCTTAATCAACATATATCAAGAGTTATTGTTTAACATTTTTTGGCCTTCTTGTAAAACATTTTCTAACATGATCGTTGGAAAACTTATTTACTTTTTTATGTTGATCATCTCGTTAACCATTTTAACCATTTTGTTGACCATGTTTTTATTATTTAGTTTATTTATTTTGTTCTTTATTGCGTTGACCAACTCGTTTACCATTTTGTTAAATATTTTGTTGACTTGTTTACTGTATTGTTCCTTATGTTGACTTAATTGTTTGCAAACACTTTTTTTGCCAAGAAAACTTGACATTATATAGGCCTATATATATATATATATATTTAAGTATAATAGCTAAATTTTTTAATCTTCCTTTTTACCACTTAAAATACAACTAGAGCAACAAACATCTTATTATTAGTTGCAAAATTAAACAAAAACTTTAAACAGACCATGTATGCTGCAGTGGCGTAGGCAGGGGGGGGGATTAGGGGGGGTCATAACCCCCCCCCCATAGACCCCTCGGTATATATAAAAAGTATGAGGGGGGTGCAAATCGAAAGTTTGAGGGAGGGATGCAAATCGAAAGTTTGATGGGGGGGGGGGTGCAGATCGAAAGTTTGTCCCCGGGTAAAAATTGGAACCCCCCCTTGAGACGATTCTGGCTACGCCACTAGTACGCTAGCTTAAGTATTTTAATAATTGAATATTTTCAACGAAAGCATAATTAAACTGATAAAAAGATCACTTAATGTTATTATGACGTGGCACCAACAAGTATATTTTTAGCAAGTTGAAATATCAAAATTCGCGAAAAGAGTCAACTGAAATTCCCGATACTATACGTAAGTTATAAAAATGTAATATTTATTCGGAATCTTTATATATATATATATATATATATATATATATATATATATATATATATATATATATATATATATATATATATATTACTGATAATCACATGCATTACATTAAACAGGTATTTTAATCTAATTTAAACTATTTTTAAAATACGATATATTAGCATTGGATATCACTAGAATAGAATATTAAATAAAAAACATATATAATAATGTTTTTTAA